AGTAGTGAAGCTCCACCCTATACTAAATAATTCTGAAAACACACCTTTCGTATTTACATAACCAAATTTATAATATAACATCCACTACTGCCTTAAAATGTTACACTATTACTACAGGAAAAAGTTCCTATGTGAGGTGCTTTTAAGTACTGAGCACTTCTTTATAATTATAAGCAAAACAAAATGAGCACACAAATAATCCCCATAGTGCAATCTCTCAATTAGTAAACTCCCAACAACAGGGATTACTGCACAGACTTACATATTTCTGCACAATCAACAACGGCTCTTAGAATACTTTAAATGTAATACATGCTCAATAAATATTTGCAGACAGAATCTCACATAACAGAACTCTTGCATAAGGTAACAAAAAGTGAATAACACCTTCAGATAGTCCTGGGCTAACACCCAAGAAACACTGACAAATCCTAACAATTCGTCCATTGAAAATGTTCTGTTGATTGCCTATGACTAGTTAATTCTGTTAGTCTTTCACTGTGCTTATGGTATGTTTTATTATTCCTGTCAATATTAATTTAGTAACACAGTCATAGAAAGTTAAGCTAAAGGAACTTACAAGGTCATCTAGTATAAACCTTTCATTTTACAGACAAGGAAATGAAGGTCTACTTTTCTCACAATCAACACTTTGGCACTTGTCACCTCTTTCCCTGGTTCCCTAACTAAATAAAAGAGACATTTTATTGCACTTTTTTGCTTAGGTTAACATTACAAGTGAAGGCACATTCCTCAAATGCCAGTCTCTAGCATAGTATGTTGTATATAGCAGGTAGTCAGTCAGGTGAGTACTTACACACTGTTCTTGCTCAGTGTTCAAATTTCAGTAAATGACAATGCTCATTTTAATTATTTTCATTTGTACAATTTTTGTGTGCAACAATTGTTTTTCTAATATAAAAAGTGATCTGACACAAGTTTTTACTCAAAGCATTATCATTCATAACATAAAATACTTGTCTTTTCTACCACAGTGAAGCTCATTTTCCCCAATAATACCAAAACTAACAGTGAGACAGAAACCAAATCAGTTTTGCACATAACATTCAAGACACATCCCCGTAGGGAGATCGAATTGGTAAATTATACACACACACACATCCATTACCTAAGAGCTAAACATTAGGCCAGGGGCTTGAAACTGCTTTACTTGCCTTCCTGGTCAATAGGGAAAACAATTTTATCAGTTTCAAATCACAGAGAACAAGGAACTGCCTTCTTTCTGAAGTCACAAACTGTTGGGATGCAACCATCACATCTAGTCTCAATACAGGACAAGCCCCATGTTCAACCAACTATTCAAAACTATATGAAAGCCAGGTAATGTACTAGTCAGTCTCTAATTTTAAAGCAAAATGAAGATCAGGGACTTAAGGTTACAGTAAACTCTAAAGTTATAAGCTTTATAGTAAACGTTTCCCACTGCAGTTGAAGGAACAATAACTATTCTCAGAGCTCATAAATGCCCTGACCCAGAACCAAGGACAAAATGGAACTGCTGAGTTCTAGCACATGGGACAGAAATCAGGTCTAATACGGCTTTACCATGTAAACCTTGTGGATCATCATACTTTGCTCTCTGTAACTAATATATAAAAAAGTAAAACAAAACTGTCTAATTTGGGTTTAAATTGAATTTAGAAAACATCCAAAAGGTCCACATACATAATTTCACTTTGATTATAATTTTAAGTCTAAAATGCATGAGATTCAGAAGTCTGTATGACTTACCAGCCTGAATACAGACAAGAAACTCTGGCACCAACACTGCTTCCAAGGTCTGATAATTAATGAGAGAAATCCTATCTTTCCTGTCATTTAATTTTTCTGTTTCCAAGAAGTAGGTAGGACAATGACACATCTTAAGGACTGTTTAACAAATGGTTTGTAAGGTCTTACAAATAAATAAATAAAGGGTTATAAACAGGCTTATAAACAACTGATAACTAATCACTACTACTTTGAGAGGAGAGGTATTTACAGAGATGTGTATTAGTGATTTGGACCTTTGTCTATGGAGTGGGAATGAGGAAGGTCAAGAATTGCCAGCTTATAAACTTGGACTTAAGTGGATGATACTCTTAAATATATCAACAAATATTACAACACTATCAAGTTGGCAGTATCTTCATTTTCTAGAACTACCTTATTAACATTTTTTTAGAATTTTATTTCCAATTCTTATGAAATAATTTCTGATCTCATCAGGTACCATGATTTCAACTTTGAACACTTAACCTTTTTTTTCAAAGTCTCATTTAATGCTTAAAATTACAATGGACATACTTTCATCAAACAGCATTTTAGTTTAACAGAATAATTATGAACTGAAATAATAAATAACTCATTGTCCAACTAAGGGCCTGCCTCACATATTATATGTATATTTGTTGAATAGGAAGACAAGTACGGACTTGTTTGTGATCTGCAAGTTCAATAATTTAGAAACTGTGATCAACCTAAATGCAAAACCCATTTGATAATTTTTAAATGCCACATTTTGGCTTAATGTAATTTTAAATTCTCATTAGTAATGATACCAAAGGTTGATGTAGAAAGTAGTACAAAACTGATCTCTCAGAACATTATCAAGTTATAAAGTAACTGATAAAAAGATATTGTTCCCTCAAAAAATGTGAAATGAGATACTTAAAGAATTGCAATCTTATCTATTAAAAATTATTTTAATTTAGCACTAGTTCTTAGAGGAGATGGTGGTGAAAAGGCTTTCACTTTTTTTAGTGTCTTTATTTTAGATAGTCACTTGATGAATAATACAAATCCAGCCTTGTGGGTCAGGGGATATGAGACTATACATTAACTATCTCCACTAATGCTGTTTATGACCCACTATTGTTTGTTCCAAAGTTCTAAACGTAATCATCTTTGCAAATAGGATTTCTACGCTTGAAAATTAAACACTAGTAAGTGTACCATTACAATTTTAAAATAAAGATATAAAATTGTATACTCGGGGATGAAGGTGTTTGTTGCCCATTATTTTTTCTGAGCAAGTAGCAAAAAAATGAAGTGCACTCTACTTTAGGGTAAGTTTTTCTCACATTAGAGTCAGCGCAGTTAAGTTGTAATGATTGTGTAAATACAAATTATCAATGAAAGGATAATTAAATCACATGATTTACCAAAAAGAGTACTATCATTATTATTCAGTCAGTTGGCTAGATAACTTCTATTTTAAAAATATAAAGTGGAGTTTCCTTTCCCCTACTGTTCTCATAATAAATTAAAATACATTACTAATTCAACTTTTAAAATGTGCCTTTCGTAAAAGATTTTAGTTCTTTAATTTAGATGCCCCTTACCTTAAATGTAAAAACCAAGGGGCAAATACAATTCAATGATGATTTCAGAGACACTAAGTTACATTAAGTTAATAGGGGTTAAAAACCCACTACTTTCTGGCAGGAGATTAACCATCTCTCCCTTTAAAGTTTTCAAAAGGGGGTGAGGGTATCCCTTAAGGAATAAAGGCTTCTCTCTCTGTCTGTCTCTCTGTCTCTCTCTCTCTCTCTCTCTCTCTCTCTCTCTCACACACACACACACACACACACACACACACACACACGACAATCTTACATCTCTGACCTATTCAAGCTGCCAAAACATGACTATCATCAAAGCCAAAAAATTCTACCTTAAAATATTTAAACTTCATTTTAAAATTAAAACTGAAAGCAAGATACTCAGCTGCCAACTACTGTGTAGTAAGAAACTATTAAAGCCTGCACTGACCTACTTCATATCAGCATCATGACAACATGGATGTATGCCAAGAAATAATAAAAATTACCATATAACAAACCTTAATTTTGTATTTAAAAATTGTGACTGTTTTTAAAATGCATAAATATTGTACTACAATGTGTTATGATGCATTTATTTTTAAATTGCAATAAAATGAAGGAGTTTTAATATTTTAGTAGTCATATTCAATGATGGACATGTGGTATTTCATTTTTAAAATCAGAGCTTGTTTTACACCACATTCTATTTTAAAACGTCTATTAAAAGCAATCTCTTAGACCAAAGTCCAAATATTGCTTTCCACTTTTAAAACAGTACTACATTTTTTAAAAATGTCAGTTAATGAAGAATCCTACAAAAATAATGCAAGTTCATGTTCAAAGAATATTTACAATGGCTCTAACAGAGGATAGACTTAACTCAATGTATTTAATTATTAAAAGATTGCCACCAGTCCGTCAGAGTTTAACCTAATGCTGAAATATTGTAAATTCTCATACAAGCAAGCACAGAAATAGCAAAGGATATCTCACCTATGGTTTTTTTAAAAAAAGAAAAAGGCACGAAATGGCAAGACATTTTAAAATAAAACATCTTTTTAAATTAAAAAATCACTTTACAGTGTAAATTGCCACCTTAAAATATCATATACTAAAAAAGCCCTTTCTTCACAATCATGCAAATAAACTCCCTGGAAAGGAAATTTAATCTCAGAATAAAGAAGGCAAAAACATCCAGAAATAGCAGCTAAACCAACCGAAAGGAAGAGCCACATTAGGTTTTGTGCTGCATATTAATATTCTTACGCACAATGTCTGTTTGGTGAAAATTCACAATACACTTCTTCCTCTCTGTATGACTGCAAAAAGGAGTAAACACATTTCACATTCCTGAGTCCCAAATTCATGCCACGATCATGCAACATGACTTAATTTCGTCCCATATTCCTCTTACACATAAATGAACACCACAAATAACTTGTTTATCTACACTCACAATTGAGGGGGTAAAAGCATTTGGGGGGGGGGGGGCTATGGAGACCAGAGGTGATGCAAAGTCCCCACACCTCCAGAGGTCCTATAAAAATGCACCCGACTCTGGATACCCACATTCAATGAATGCTTCAGCCTCTTCCTCCGCCCGCCGCCCCCCACCCCGTTTGCAGCAGAAATGTGCCTGGGCTTTTTTACCCCGGCGATGGAGGATCCTCTTACCAGATGGAGTTCTTGATCTTGTGTTGCAGCGCGCTGGCCTCTGTCCCTGGCAGCCCAGGCACAAGGGCTGGCAGAGCCACCCCCGAGTTGGGGGCGCTGGGGGGAAGCTGCTGATGGGCATCAGGCTGCTGTGGTGGCGGCTGTTGTTGTTCCTCTGCCATCGCTGCTGGAAAGTGGGAAGGAAAGGGAGAAAAGAGAATGAGAACTCAGGAAGAAAAGTGAAGAAAAAGAACAGAGAGAGAAATGAGAAGGAAGGAAGGAAGGAAGGGAAGAAAAAGAAAGGAAGGAAGGAAGGAAGGAAGAAGAAGAAAAAGCTAGTCATAAACCTGAGCTCAAGTGAAGAATCCTTTCTCTCCCTAAGTTTTATCCTAGAGAGACAGCTCAGGCTGAACAACTCCTGGCAACAAGGGTTTTCCCTCCCTGGGAAGAGAAACACTCTTAACCTTCCTCTCCTCCTAACCTTCCTCCTCCTCTCCTCTCCTCTCCTCTACTAAATCAGCAACCAAAACTGAGGAGATAAAGAAAGAGACATCTAGTGAACACCTGGAGTGAGTAGAAAGCAAGGCTCCCCAAATCCGAGTGAGTGCTCTTAGAGTCCGCAGCCCGGCAGCCTACGCTCTTGCCCGGGCTTTCTACTCCGAGACCCACGCTTTGCTGCAACCCAGGCTCGGCTCCACGCCACTCCCCACGCCGCCGCCGCCGCCGCCGCCGCCGCGCTCGCTCCCGGCCCCGCCGCCACAGCGGCCGCCGCTGCCCAGCCAGCCCAGGAGGCAGCCTAGTGCGCGCAGCCGCACTGCTGACCCGGCGCGAGCAGTAACACTCACGCATCCGCGGGGGGGAGGGGGGGGGGGCGTGGACCAGCGTGTGCGGGTTACGGGCGCGGGCGCGGGCGCAGGGGACCGGGAGGGGGGCGCACGGGTGCGCAGGGCAGGCGCGGGCCAGCTCGGCCCGGAACGCGCGCCGCCCGGGCAGAGGAGGGGACTGGCCAAGCTGGTGGAGGAGAGCAGGAAAACGTGGGGGAGGTGCTGGCGAGAGAAAGAGAACTTGCGTGAGGACGAGGAGGAGGAGAAACCAAATATAATATTTGGCGTGGAAATGGGATTCTGGTTTTTTTTTCCCCTTGCATCTTCAAATCAAGAAAAGTGAAATTAATCAACATTATTCCCTCTGCCCTCGACGAGTGATTATTGCTTCTCCCTGGGTAAGCGAAGAGAATTGAAGCAGGTAAGAAGATAAGCTGACTTTTCCAAAGCCCCCAAAGAAGAACACCCGTTGGAATTAACCACCCTTTAGGTAATTCAGTCTTGAACGGAAATCGCAAGTCAGGAGCTGGGTTGAGTGCTTCTCAGTCGGGCATTCAAAGCCCTCCAAATCTGGCCCCACTTTAGTTATCCAATCATAGCTGCCTCCATCCCCCTGCAAGAACTCCCGGCTCCAATCAGTGAAGTCTCCATGCCATTCTCAACGCGCAGCAGATTCATTCTTCCTTCGTGCCTTTGCTCATGCTGTTCCCCTCACCTCCCCACCCCACCCCCTTTCCAGGAATGCCCTCCCTCCCTCCTCTATACCACTCTCAAGCCAACCCAGGCTCTAAGGCACAGCTCAAGTCGCGGCTTGTCAGGGTCCCTGGCAGCCAAGGCCCCTGCCTGCCTCTGAAAGAAACACATGCAATTCTGGCAACATGGAGGCTCAGGCTTCAGACATAAGCTTCTTCCTTTGGAGCCAGTTGAACCCCTGGACACACATTCTGTGCCCTTCTTCCCATTCACACTTAAGAGACAGTTTTGTCTACCAAGAATAAGACCCTGCTAGAAACAAGCAAGTCCCCTTTAAGAGCAGAAGAATTGGCTTTTCTAGGTGGGGCTCATCAGGCAGGCCTAAACTGCCTGGCTGTAGAAGACAACCGCCAAGGCCTCTGGCACCAGATGGAACAGCTGCTCAGCTCACACTGACCTTTCTCTGGGCCTGTGGGTGTTGTGAGCTCTCAGCTTTAACTTTTCTAACAGTTTCTATCAGGTTTCTACCTATCAGGTTCTCTGGCCACTTTCCTGCTGTGCTTGGACTTTGGGCCATGAGGCTCTGCCACCACTTAGAGTCCTGGGTGAGCAATCTGATTGGCTTGGGCTTCCTGGCTTTGGAGTGTTTTGTGCCCTGCCTTGCCCTGGAACTCTCTTGCTTTTGCACCGCTGTGCCCTCAGGCCTGGCTCCCAGATTCACCCTGAATGCTTGTAGATGGTCAGGGGTGGTGGAGTAGGAGGAACACCTGTGTACAAAACACTGCTCCTCCATGAGGATTTCAGGCTGCTCGGTTTCCTTTGCATCTTGATACTCTTTGCACTGATTGTTTCATACAAATTGGTCCCCTTTCCTATAACCTAAGGTCACTATTAGCTTAGCCACTTTAGGAAAATATAGGTTGTGTATGAATTCATTTTGCATATGCACCTTTGTGTCCTCTACAGACAGTATTTTTCTGTACCAAACTGATAGACATGGCGTGCACTAGATAGAAGCTTTAGATAGAAGCTTTGAAAAAGAATAACAATTAGCCAATGTTTGCTGAGCACTTTCAGCCTGCCAGACCTAGCATTTTCCATACATTATCATAGTTATTCCTTCCCAAACTATATATAATATAGGTATTCTATAAATTCTCCTATTAAACAAATGAAACAGAAGCTTGGAGGGATTAAATAGCATTCTTAAAGTAATCCAATTAGTAAATGAAGGAGCCGGGAGTTTGATCCTGGAAGTCTAATTGCACAATCTGCAACCCATGCTGAACATGAGATAATACTAAAAAATCTTGAGTGTATATATAAATTCCATGTCCATAGGGAAGATGGAGAAAGCAGAGAGAAAGAAAGAAAGAAAGAAAGAAAGAAAGAAAGAAAGAAAGAAAGAAAGAAAGAAAAAGAAAGAAAAGCATTGGGGAAAGTTGCCTAGTCCTCCAGATTCTAATTTTTTTACCTCGCTAAGAAAGTATGATGGCTTCACATTCCCACACCCTGGGAGGGAGAGATACTAGGGAGTGAGGGATTTCATTCAAGAAAGATAATGTATCTGAGACCTGCCAAAGGCCCTTAAGAAAAGGAAGCTGAGAAACTAGACTTTTTTTTTTAAGTACGCCAGTGGGTGTCACACAGGCTGGCTTCCCGAGTGCAACTTTTGAGAGTTTTTTATCGGTTCCATGAAAGAGCTATGTCACCCCAGCAGCCACTAGAGGGCTCAGCAGAGCTGCAACCCTGAGCTGCCCTGGGGTGATGATGGAAGGGCGGTGCTTTAGCTTGAGTGGGCATTGTTGAGCATTTGGGGCCTTCAAGAACCAACAGGCGGTTGGAGGAGACATCTGTGACTCTTAGGTTCAACCAGCAATGAGTGGCAAATTGTATCAGATTGAAGACACCTAACTGCCAGAATGAGACATTTTTGCAGGAAGGAAAGGATCTGTCTCCCACTGCTCCTTTAACATTTGGGAGTAGAATGTGTTCTATTGCAGTCTTCAGAGAGGGCTATAACTAAAATCATGCCATTAGAAACCTAAAAGAGAGCTGACCAAGTTACCCAAAATCTTGGATAGGGACTCGAGCCAAACCTAGACACTGAATAAAGGTAGCAGTGTAGCCAAGTACTTCTGAAATTGTATGTGTACCCCTGTGGTGATGAAACCCTATACTAAGGTCCCTGAATCACCCAGAATCAGTGTGGCTCATTTTCCTAGACCTTCATTTTGACTCAGTGAGAAGTAATGGAAAACATTATAGTAAACATGAAGTTTTAAGATAACATTAGATTTTGAGCTTATATTTCCCAATCCTGAGGAGTATAAGTCTATTCTTTTTGTGAAAGTGTACTCCAGTGGAAAATTTTGAGAAACACTGATGTAGTGGGGAAGAAAGACTCTGGTCTTGGAGTTAGAAGACCTGGGAATTCAAATCCTCTGTTTCCATCTCTATAAAAATGAAACTAGTGACCTACGTCACAGAATTGTTATGAGGAACAACATGTAAGGTGACATCTAAACCACGAAAGTGGTATATGTGTATAAAGAATCTCTACAAGGTGGATTGTGAGCACCTGAAAGGTAGTGACTATGTTTTATTTATCCTGGTAGTCCTGGGACACAATTCCTTTTACTCCTAGGTGTTTAGTAAATATTTGTTGAATGCAGTATTTACTTAACCTTAAATTTCTTATCCCAATGCATTATACCATCTTGCTCTCTTATGTTTGTAAACCTTGTCTCTTCTATGAAACTGTAAACTTTTTATACTATCCAGACTATACAGCATATACAATTATATCTATCATGCTTGATATATAATATTGGGCCAAAAAAATACACATATATACATACTTATATAAAAACCTGGTCCGAACTGGACATAGTTTACATTCTTTAGGACAGAAAGACATATTAACATATATTAAGTATACAAGATGATGAGTTATAAAATAGAATCATGTCAACTCATGTTACAGAGACATAGTGGAGGGAGGTATTGGTCCTGTTTGGGGTAAAAGAGCTGTCTGGAGAAGGTCTCTTGGCTAGCATTTGAATTGGGTCTCATTGGGTGAATAGAAGTTCAATAGGCAGAGCACTGAAGGAAGAGGATTTTAGCATAAGCACTGGTGTGAAGCCATGAAAGGGCACATAGGATGAGTGAATAATGCATCGGTCAGTGTTAGCTTGGTGTTCAGATCCTTAATTGACTGCATAGGGGAGGGAAAGGAAAGAGAGGGAGACACAAGCCCATTTTACAAGATGTTACTCTGGGTTATTAGTTATAATTGTTCTGACAAAAGATGAACCCTAAAATAGGTTTCATCAATAGTGAACATTGGTTATGTACTCAAAGTGTACATTTCACTTCTACAAATTATGGTGGTTTACAATAATGAAAAAGATAAGGTTCTACCCTATTCTTTTATTCCCCCTTGAAAGTAACAAAGTGGGGGGGGGGCACCTGGGTGGCTCAGTCAATTAAGCGACCCACTTCCGCTCAGGTCATGATCTAGCTATTCCGAAGTTCAAGCCCTGCCTCAGGCTCTGTGCTGACAGCCCAGAGCCTGGAGCCTGTTTCAGATCCTAGGTCTCCCTCTCGCTCTCTGCCCCTCCCCCACTCACACTCTGTCTCTCTGTCTCTCAAAAATAATAAAA